AATTTGAAGTCTTATTAAAAAAAATTAGCAGCAGAAATGTATTTTATAAAGTCTGCAGTAACCGAAGTACAAATAGACGAGGATCAGTTGGCAGAAATAAATCATGACTGATGCAAGGGAATATATTTTTTCGATTTGATGGCTTCCAAAACTATTGACGATGGAACTGCATTCAACCAGCTAATGAAACATCGTGTTACTCTAAACTGTATCCAACTGACTAGACTTTCTCTTTTATATCAGTGATAAACTAGGATATTATTGAAGGTGATAGGTCTTCTGATTCCATGGCTGACAGCACGAGAAAACAAGGTCAAATAATTTATCCAACGTTTCATTCGAATTGCATCGGTCATCGTCAGGGAATGAACACGAAACAACGATAAACTGTTGAGTTAGTTGGCAATTCACCGGATAGGCTGGACGCTAGCTTGGCCACCGGTTAAGCCGTGAATCATGCTCCACGCCGCGGAAATGGCGATGCAGCCAGAATGTTGCTCATGCTATGGAGAATGGTCAAGATTTTAACAACATTGATGTAATGGTTGTCGCCGGGACAAGCTGAAGTTATTAATCAAGGAGTCGCTACACATCACTGCGTGTAAAAACAGAACTTGCAACAGTTGCATTTGCTCCATTGCCATTTCCGCGGCGTGGAGCATGATTCATGGCTTGACTAATGACCGAGCATCCAGCCGGCCATTGGGGTCACTTGCCAACTGATTCATTCATTTGTCGCTGTTTCGTGTTCATTCCCTGATGATGACCGAAGCAGTTCGGTTGAAACATTGGAATTGTTGTAAATAAAGCTATTTGATCTGTTTTTTGATATCTGATCGCCAATCATGGAATCAGAAGACCTTCAAGTCACCTACGGCACGGCTTCGGTATGAGTCCTAGAAAATTTTTGCAAGATATCACTGGATTTTGGACATTCAGTTCTAATGGATCAGACTGTAAAAGTACCTTTTTTAACCTCACAGAAAGTCAATTTCAATAAATTGCCCGTCGGTAAGTGTTTATCCTCCTGCGCATCATCGTGCTTTCATGCAGACCATGCTCGCAAAAGGGTTACATACTCATTTGACATATATTAATATGACTAGTTATCATAACTTATTTGCCGCATATGTCCACGGCAACGAAACGTGGTGGCTGATGAAAGGAGAAGCACATCAGCTGTCTGCTACTGAAAGAGCCATGCAAATAAAACTGTTGGGATTTCGTTCCAAGACCGCATTTCCAGTGCAAAAGTCAGGGTGAATCAGAGTGAAAATCCTGTAAATCAAAGTAAAATACGTCGTCGCAAAGAGCGAGTTCAGCAAAATGTGATATGCACGTAGTTCGGATAAGTGACCACCGACTGAAAGCGACTGCTGTTGAATTGTACACGTTGTCTTACCCCAGTAAGATGTGGCGATTTTATCTCTGACTTGCAATGACAATATTAGATGATTACTCGAACGAGAGAATAAGGGAGTAACTGTTGTGATATGCGCAATGTATTTGAGTGCTAAATACTGCTAGATCAAAGTATTAGTTACAAGCGAGGCACTGACACAGTTTCTGAAAAAGGAGATGATATGTCTACAGTAATAGCTAATGACTGAGTAGAAGACCTTCAATAAAGAATATGAAACAAAGGGAAACGTCCTTTCAAATAATTTAGCAGAAAATTTGTTGGAAAGCAAATGTATTTAAATGATTATTTCCAAAGGCTAAAATGTCATTATGTGCAATTTTGTGGTATCTAACTTAATCAAGTTTATCCACACGCATGCCACAAACATATGTCTACGAGTTTCAGAAACTGCCCGAAAAAGTTCGATCGCGAATATAAGCAGAACGAATGAAAATTATTCATTATTGCTGAAATGACGGGGCTAGATAAACTTCGGAATATGATAAGCAGAACGTCTTCACTTGTGAACTGCTGCTTCTTCAGATTGAGAGACCACAAATACGATTGTTTAGGCACGTGATCAGAATACCAGAGAAAAGACTCTCAATTCAGACGATCTATCGTTAGGAATTCCCACGCTCAAAGGAAAAGAAAGGAAGGGTTGTAACAGTTGGAATGTCGATATTTCTCACTCTTTCTGGCGCCCTTCTTATCATGAAATTGATTATGGGATGCTGATCTTTATTTCCATGCCATCAGCCATGAGTGCCTTATTTTGAAGGAGGAGTCGACAGCAGCTATGGGGCGAGCATTGTGTGTAGTCCCCTGTTTCATTCCAAATGGGAAACTCGTTTCTCAACCTTGGGAGGAAGAATAGTAAGTGATTCAAGAGGGACTCGAGTCCGGGACTTTTCGATTTTGAATCCGACGCTATACTGACTGACGAGCCTTGCAAACGGCTAAGGGGCCTACAATCGGCCATGTTTCTCATGTACAT